GATGTATTAATAACATGAATATTCTCTATTAGAATATTATTCTAAGGTTAAGAGTAGTATTTCAAAAGAAAAGTAGCCAACATTCTGGAAATCTACACTTAGAATGAGTGCGTAACTAACTACACATGATAACACACCTATGACAAGTTTGTGAATATATTCATATATTTAAGTACAAATGCTAAGTGATGGCGAGACCCTTATGTTCCTTTGTCTTTGTGATTTATTGGAAGTGTTAGAAAAAAGGTCATTAGGAAAAAGGTTGGTCTTCTGATCTGATAGAGCTTAAATCTCACATTAATGTTTTCCAAGTACAAACAAAAATACTTTTTTTTATTGTTTTAGGTTAATTTGAGGGTACAAAGAATTAGGTTACAATGTTTGCATTTGTGAGGTAGAGTCCCTTCTATAATTCTGTCCTGCCCCCAAGAGGTGTGCCATACCCCCTAACATTGTGCCCATTAAGTTGGAGCACACCCTGTAATACTTGTTTTGTATGTAAAGTTACAGTATTATGTTCAAACTAAAATGTGAGTGAAGTTCCCCTTATACAAAAGACAATACATAAAAATTCAGGTTAGCAAGGGTGAAGTTCTATTTCTTAATGTAATAAATTAGTTATGAGATTCTTTTACCAAGAAAAACAACACTCGGACTGTGTCCTCTCCTTCTTACTCTCTCAAAGGGAAAGAACGATTATCAACAGCAAATGGTAGGCACAGTAAAGCAAGGCTAAGAGCTCCCCCTTCAGACCCACAGGAGAACGCTGTATCTCCTCCTGTGGTTTCCAGAGCGCTACATGTTCAGAGAAAGTTCTCTACTAAGAAACTATAGAAAGAATCCCTGAAAGTATAATTTTATTTTGCCTTTTATATACTCAAGAAACTAATATATTCAGAAGCATTAACAGAACCTTAGCCTTGTTGCTTTTATAAGCAGAAAGATGGATTAAGTGTTTCCCATTAAATTTGGCATACTTTATGCATAAGACAGATAGTAGAAGCTTCATGTGCCTTGTCACTTCCCAATCTTTTGTGTATGAAATGTAACTTCATGGTGCCTATAAGTCTTTCTTGATGCATCTAAATAGAATATTGTCAAAGAGAATATTTTAAAAGTTGCATTTAATTATATAAATGATTTTAGAGCTCTTACACATTTTCTGTAAATTTAACTCATCTGAAAAAACAGATAGTTATTGTGACGTAAACAGCAAAATATTTTTAAAAATTAGGAAGAAAGCCCAAATTATAATGTATTCAAGTACATATATGACATACACGACATATATTAAGATAGATTATTTCAACGTACATAGCATTCAGGAAAATGACTGTGTAAGCAAAGCTACCAAAATAACACAAAAGGATTGAAATTGTATCTGAAGGGCTGTTATCTGATGAGTGTTTAAGGACTGTCCACATATGGGTTCAAAAAGCCAAAGCAACTTTCTCACAACTGGAAAGATTTAAGGAGTTAGATGAGTTAAGCAGACATTCCTAAATAATGTTTAGCTCTCTTCAAAATAATTACTCTATACTCCACATGATCCTAAGAAGTTTGACAAAAAACAAATAAAAAACCCTGATAATTAGATAACCATAGAAAACATGAATAATTTTAAAATCAATATATTTCCCACTTGATCATGAAAAAAAAACCTGATAAGCATTTACAACTGAGATAAAACTATGTGGAAAAAATACAACCAGAACACCTGTTTTGACTTCCTTCAAATAACGTACCCAGGAAAAGGACAGAGGCAAACTGAGAGGTGGGTACACATGAAACAAGACTGTGCTATGTTCCATTATCAAAGCTATAGGTCCATGGGAGTTCATCAGTGGTTCTATTTCCAAAATAAAACGAAATACTCTTTCCCTAAAAGCCACAGAATCTAAATAATCTTGGCCACTATTTACAAAAATATTAAGAATGGCTGACATGGTTTATACTGGTAATCCTAGCACTCCAAAAGGATGAGATGGGAGGACCCTTTGAGCTCAGGAGTTGGAGACCAGCCTGAGCAGTTGTGAAACCTCTCCTTTGCTAAAAATAGAAAATTAGAGGACCTTCTGGTGAGTACCTATTGTCCCAACTAGTTGGAAGACTGAGGCAGGAGGATTGTTTGAATCCAAGAGTTTGAGGTTGCTATGACCTAGGCTGACAAAATGGTATTCTACCCTGGGACAGAGCAAGATTCTGTCTTTAAAAAAAAAAAAAAAATTTAAGAATGGCTTTACTTAAAAATACCAATAAATGGACTGTAATAATTCAGAGTTTAATATGAGAATTAATAAGTTAAGCATGATAGCCAGGCATTGTGGTGGGTGCCTGTAGTCCCAGCTACTTGGGAGGCTGAGGCAAGAGAATCACTTAAGCCCAAGAATTTGAGGTCGCTGTGAGCTGTGATGCCACAGCTCTCTATTGAGGATGATTTGATTAGACTCTATCTCAAACAAATAAATGAATGATTGAATGAATACATAAATAAAGCAACCATGATATAAGAAAGAATATGTGATGTCTATCCTGGCCAAATATATAATACTCTGGAATATATGAACATAATAAAAATATTACTAATTTTGAGGATGTCATAATTATAGACTATACATTATAGTAGTCCCTCCTTGCCTTTGGGGTGTATGTTCCAACATTCCCAGTGCATACCTAAAACTACAAATACCACTGACCCTATATTGTCATGCACTGCTTAATGATGGGGTATATGCTGAGAAATGTTTCAGTAAGCTATTTTATCACT